ATGGGGCTATGGGGCTATTGGGCTATTGGGCTATTGGGCCATACCGCTATCGGAGGTGAGGGGGTGAGATCGAAGTGGAACGGCGAGCCCCCCACCGGGAAATCGGTTTCGGTTTCGTGTTCGTGCGTGCCGTGCGTGCGAGGCGAAGCTGCGTGGGCGGGCGAGAAAAAGTCTCCTGTGGCTGAGGCGCGGCCGGACCAAATGGTTCTCTTCCGGGGCGCGGGGCCCCGCGGTGTCCCGCCGGTGTCCCGCGGTGTCCTCCTGTGGCTGAGGCGCGGCCGGACCAAATGTTTCTCATCCGGGGCGCGGGGCCCCGCGGTGTCCCGCCGGTGTCCCGCGGTGTCCCGCGGTGTCCCGCGGTGTCCCGCGGTGTCCCGCCGGTGTCCCGCCGGTGTCCCGCGAGGATGATGATGATGATATGATGACAATGATAATGATGATGATGATGATGATGATGATGATGATGATGATGATGATGATGATGATGATGATAAGATGATGGTGATGTTGTCCCGATGAAGATGATGCTGATGTTGATGATGGTGTCGATGATGAGGATAGTGTTCCGATGATGAGGATGATGATGCTCATGATGATTATGTTGATGATGATGACGATAATGGTGTCCCGATGATGATGATGATGATGATGATGATGATGATGATGATGATGATGATGATGATGATGATTCCGATGATGTTGGTGATGATGATGTTGATGGAAATAGTGTCCCGGCGATAATGATGTTGATGATGATGATGTTGATGATGATTATGGTGTCCCGATGATGCTGATGATGATGATGATGGTGCTGATGATGAGGATGGTGATGCTGATGGTGTCCCGATGATGATAATAATGAGAAGCACGATGTTGATGATGATGTTGCTCATGATGATGATGGTGCCCCAATGATGATGATGTTGTTGATGATGATGTCGATGATGATGCGATGATCATGATGATGGTGTCCCGAGGATGATGGCGGTGTTGATGATAATGTTGATGATGAGAACGATGGTGATCATGATGGTGTCCCGATTATGATGATGATTATGATGATGCTGCTGATGATGATGACGATGACTGTGTCCCGATCATGATGATGAGATGATGATGGTGATGATGATGATGTTGTCCCGATGATGATGCTGACTTTGATGATGATGTTTATGATGATGATGATGACGGTGCCCTCATGATGATGACGATGTTGGTGTTGATGCTGATGTTGATGATGTTGTTGATGATGATGATGATGACGTTGATTGCGAGAGCGATTGTAATATCGATAGTAAGATCGATATTGAGACCGAATGTGAGATCGATTGTGTGATCGATTGTGATATCGACTGTAAGATCAATTGTGAGATCGATCGAATGAGACAAATCGAGTGAGATCGATTGTGAGATCAATCGAGTGAGATCGATCGAGCGAGACCGATAGTGAGATCGATACTGAGATCGATAGTGAGACCGATCGAGTGAGACGTTGGTTGCCCCCCACCGAACCTCCTTATCACCCGAAGGGTGGTCGTATAGGTACGGCTATAGGCCTATAGGGTTATAGTGCTATAGGGATATATGGCGATTGGGCTACTGGGCTATAGGGATATAGGGCTATTGGGCTAAGCACCCCCGTGCACTTCTGGGCACCCCAGGCACCCGGGCACCCCTGGGCACCCGGGCACCCCCGGGCACCCCCGACCACCCGGGCACCCGGCCCCGGCCACCGGAATCGGCCACACACCTGGGCACCCGGGCACCCCCTGGAACCCCTGGGCACCCGGGCACCCGGCCCCGGCCACCGAAATCGGCCGCTCACCTCACCTCAGCTTTATATCCGGTAGGACCCCTACAGAGGCAAGTTCTGATTGGGGAACTACTACTAACTACTACTACTACTACCACCACTACTACTACTACTACTACTACTACTACTACTACTACTACTACTACTACTACTACTACTACTACTACTACTACTACTACTACTAGTACTACAACTACTACTACTACTGCTACTTACGACTACTACTCTACAACTACTACTAACTACTACTACTACACTAACACTAACATACTACTACTACTACTACTACTACTACTACTACTACTACTTTAAAAAAACTACTACTACTACTACTACTACTACTACTACCACGACTACTATTACTACTACTACTGCTACTACTGCTACTACTACTACTACTACCACGACTACTACGACGACGACGATTATGACTAATACTACGACTAACACTTTTACTACGACTACTACTACTACTATTATTACTACTACTACTATTTCTACGATTACTGTACTAGTACTAGTACTAGTACTAGTGCTAGTACTAGTACTAGTACTAGTACTAGTACTACTACTACTACTACTACTACTACTACTACTACTACTACTACTACTACTACGACTACGACTAGTACTACTACTACTACTACTACTACTACTACTACCACGACTACTACTACTACTACTACTACTGCTACTACTGCTACTACTACTACTACTACTACTACTACAACTACTACTACTACCACGACTACTACGACGACGACGATTATTACTAATACTACGACTAACACTTTTACTACTACTATTACTACTACTACTACTACTACTATTTCTACGATCACTGTACTAGTACTAGTACTAGTACTAGTACTAGTACTAGTACTATACTACTACTACTATTACTACTACTACTACTTACTACTACTACTACTACTACGACTACGACTACGACTACGACTACTACTACTACTACTACTACTACTACTCCTACTACTACTACTACTACTACTACTACTACTACTACTACGACTGCTACTTCTACTACTACGACTACTAATACTACTACTACTACTACTACTACTACTATTACTACTACTACTACTACTACTACTACTGCTGCTGCTGCTGCTGCTGCTGCTGCTGCTGCTGCTACTACTACTACTACTACTACGCAGAAGTGGGAGAGCTGGGCCATCTGACGCATGTGGCGCCGCAGGGTGAGTCGTTGGCGCACATTCACGGACGTTCCCAAGTTTAACAGGCGGGCAGGACTTTCCGCTTGTTTGATCAAGAGCTTCAGCGCAAGTCCGAAGAGATCGACAATGACATGTTGTGCAGTTCTGACGGCTTTGACGCGGTTCTCGCCCGTCTAGTTTTAATAGCAAGAGAGAGCATGGAGATGAGAGGCGAAAGGTCGCTCGCGAGTGTCTGCTTGACTCTTCCAGGGGACAAGGAGAGAATCTTACAGAGTACTGCCCGAGGATCGACGCCGCTTTCGACCTTGTGGCGACGCAGGGTCTGCCCCTCCTTCCTCGATCCTCGATCTGCCCCCTCTCCCGCCCCCCCTCGGCAATTACACGTGGTCTACTCTCCTCTCTCCCATGGCGCCGTCAAGAAGATGACCGGTTCTCTTCGCGTATCTCAGGTTCGTGTTCTCATGTGTTTTACTATCCAACTTTTGCTGGTGTTTGAAATCGGTGCTCCCGCTGCAACATGGGCCTCGTAGGATCGGGGCTTGCTCCCGTCGTTTAGAATGGCGCTCTCGCCCCAGCGCTGACCACTGTTCCAGATCCAGGTCATTCCTTTCCGTTGTCGTTCTTTCCTTTCCCCTCATCCCTGGTCCTCTTGCTCCTCCCGCTCCTTTCACTATTGTTACTGCTGCTGATAGTGGTCCTCGTTCTTCTCCTTCCTCATCTTTTTTTCTTCCTGCTCATCCGCCACCTCCTCCAGCTCGTCCTATGCACGCAGCTCCTATTCTCACATTGTACATGACACGATGGGGTAGTTTTTGGAGAGTCCCAGGTCCGCTGCGACGCGCGTGCGCGGATACAGCAGAAAAAAATGGCGCAAGGGGAAGGGATGGACGGAGGGGTCGGACGTCAGATACTGCGCGAGCGCAGTAGACCTTGTGGTGCGCGTGCCCCAGAGGTCCGGACCACTTCCGCGGGGCCTTTTCGTCGTCCTGGGTCCTTGTTGACGCTCCCGAGGCCCAGCGAGGGCCCCCGTAGCCGAGAACTGTCCAAAAAACCGCCCGCCTCCATTTTCTTGTTGGAGCGTCGGATCCCTGGGCCTCGCTTCCCACCCCCGCGCCCCTCGCCCACCCCCCCTCCCATACCCCTGGATCCCTCCCTTCCTCCCCTCCCCCCCTCCCTTCCCCTCCCCTTGGGTTTAAGTCGGGCCTGTCCCTCTACAGGAGGAATATTCAAATATAGTCGAAATGGTATAAGAACGATGTTGTTTGAGTACTTTCGGGCATTTGTTCGTATTTTGTATTATTATTTTTTCTCGTCCAAAATCCCCTTGTATGGGGGCACGCCCGACTTAATAATCCTGGGTCGCTCCCATCCTTCAGGCGATCGCAAACATGGATCAAGGGGGCGTGGATTAGCGACGGGTCCCGGTTCCTGGGAAAATCGCGGACTTCCGCCGCCGAACGAGGCGGCACCGGCCGCACTTTGGGGAGGGCACCTCCCCCTATCCATGGATTTGGCGACCGCGCGCCAAATCCATGGATCGCTAATCCATGTTTACGCGCCCCCGAATTCAAGGGAGGAAAAACCACCCTGACCGGACGATTGGCGTTTACTAAACGGCCCTGGGCGTTTACTGGACAGCCCTGCCCTGTTCGACTCTTTCTTTGGACGCGTCTGCTAAACGGCGTCGCGTGTCGGGTGGTTATTATCGGGGTGGATTGTCTGCCCTCCACGAATCCTCCCCTCCCCTGCCCCACCCCTCCGCGCTTGCCGCAAAGTGCCTACCCGCAAACGTCCGACAAAAACATGTGTCTGCTTCGATGCAATTTATCGTAGATCCCCCGCGGGGAACCCAGGCCGTTTGCGACTATAGTTACTGTGCGAGTAGTGGAACGCGCTCGTCCAGGAACGCGCCCCCGGATCCCCCCCTCCCCTGCCCCACCCCCCCGCGACTCCCCCGGCGGCGCGCCGCGGCCACCCCCCTCTCCCAAGAGGCCTGCGCCGAGGCGCGGGCGGCGCGCGCGGCCGAGGCCCGGCTGCACGAGGCGCCCCCCGCCCCCCTTTGGCGGCTGCGCCGGGGTGTGGCTGCGCCGGGGTGCGGCCTGCAGGGGCACGCCACGGTCCTCGGCGGGCCTCCTCGGGGCGCGGGAGGATGCTGTCGAAGTTCCCGCGCGCCCGCTGGGGTGCCCCCCCGGGAGGTTCCCCAGGGTGCCGGTTGCAAGCCATATTCCCTTTGCAAACCATACCCTTTGGAGTCGCCGACCCCCGCGGAGAGTTTTCGGGGGGAGTCCGGGAGGGGCACGGGAATCAGAGGAGAAAACGGGGAATGTATTGAAAATATCAAGATGGAGGTTTTTCGCCGATTTGGGCCTCCAGAGGCCCTCGCCAGGCCCCGAGACCGTCCAAAGACTACTCAGGATCGAAAGGTGGTCCCGGGGAATGGGTCAAGATTTCTGGGGGGCCGTATTGAAAAAATCACGACATCGGATCTCTGGGAAGGTACCCCTATCTCTACCCTTCGCCCGTTTCCCCCTTTGTGGGCCTCCTGGGAGGCCCTCGTCGCCACCGCTGGATTCGCTTTGAAATCCTGGTCAGAGCGCACCCCTGGAGAGGTCTGGGGAGTTGCGGTATCGGTACCTTCTGGTTTCCTCACGAAAGGAGGGGGTGCGATGCCCGTCATCGAATAAGAAACAACGCCAATCAGCATGAACAGAAAGGCTTACCGCATTAGCACCAGAACAAACGCGTAACCATAAAGTCGAAACATCAACATGAAACCAAACACGCTATATAAACATAAACGCCATAATCGTAAGCATACAAGGCATAAGCCATAAACAGAACCAAGAAGGAACAAAAGTCATAAGCGTAAAACTTTCGGCGCTCCACTTGGAGCGCTGAAGGTTTATGTTTGCGTTTATGTTTGCGCGTTTTTGTTGCCCCTCTACAACAGCAATTCCTGCTCATTTTGAACAGGGCTCGCTGTCCGCGCCGCCGCGGACGTTGTTCATTGATGACAAAACAGCCGCCTGCCCAACAGCGGCCGCTGTGGGTTTTGGACAACATGTGTTGTTGGGTATTGTACCCATTCTTTCCGTACCCATTTCGGGCGTCCGAAAAAGAGCGGTGGGAGGCGCATGTTTAATCAACCAGCTTGCAGCATTCGAAGGAGAACCATTTAGCAGAAGCCTTCAACTTTGGGAGACTCGCGCGGGTTTCTTGGATCTGCGCTCGCCCCCCCCCCTGGCGATGCCTTCGGCGCCGCCCCTGGCGCGCTCCGCGCCCAAGTGCCAGGGGAGGGAGTTCGGCGCCCATCCAAGAAATCCGTGCGGACTTTCGACGATTTATGCTTATGCACTATTCCGCATTGAAGCCGCATAACTATCCTTACGATTGCCATCACCTCATCTCGGTGCCGATCTTAGGGATTCTCTAAGCTGCTGAGGACGCTATCCAAAAATTGTCACCGAAGTGGGCCTGTCAGTCTCAGGGATAGGGATCTGCTCGAGCCTGGCCACCCATCCCTCTCGCCCTCTCCGAGCCCGAAATTCAGCACGCCAGGCACCCCTGTGGCAAGACAACAGGGGGCGGTTCAAAAACCAAAGGGAGGCACCATAAGCCTACCACCACCAACGGAGGTACACCATATGTCCTCCACCCTTTATTCCATTCATCACTCAGTGAACCTTTCATTTTGATATTTGAACGTCTCTCCAGTAGCTGTCGGCCCATCCCGCCACCGTGCCGGGGATGGGGGACGAAGGTTTCTTGGATGCCGTTTGGGGTCTCTCGGGGGCCTCATGGAGGCCTCTTGAGGGGGCTATGGGGGCCTCTTAGTGGCCTCTAGGCGGCCCCCTTGGAGGCCTCGTCGGGAGCTCTTGTGGCCTCTTGGGCGCTTCTGGGGGAGGGGACTCGTGAAGCATGTTTGGTCTCGGAGACAATATTTGAGGAAAAGGCTCCCAAGGCCACTTCGCATTCCCCCCCTTGAGCCCCTCTTGGGGATCTCTCAGGAGCCTCTGGGCCGTATTGGATGCCTCCTGGGCCACCTTGTGACCCTCCTGGGCCTTCGAGGGGCCCTCTTGGGGGCCTCTTGAGCCCTCATGGGGCGACGCTGGGGGCCTCTCGGGTCGTGTTGGAGCGTTGAAAGCCCGAAAGGGCGACAAAGTTTCGATCATTCAGGAACCTGGTTGAAATCCAATCCACGCGTGTTGCCTCTTCGGGCCCTCTTGGAGGTCACCTTGGAGCCCCCTTTGGGCGCCTTGGGACTCTTTTGGGCAGTGTTGGGCGCCTCTTGAAGGCCCTCCTGGTCCGCTTGGGGGGCATTCTAGCCCTCCAGAAAAGTCACGCGTGGCGCTCCGAGAGGTGAGCGAGGAGCCCCCAGTGCATCCGGGACTTTGGCCTCTGGGCCTCTGAAAAGAATCCCGTGCGGTGGGGGCGTTGGTTCAGGAATTTCCCCAGGAGGCTTCAGACCCTGGATGATTCCTTATCTGATGAGGGCGGTGGTGGTATCCACGGCCAAGTCCCAATGGGTGCCCCACCGGCTTCCAGACCCTGTGCTTTTTATCTACTGGTTCATTATCCAATGCCATCACCGTGCTTAGCACTGAAGGCTCTAAAAGACCTGAGAGGACTCTGCACTCCGTGCCACGCGCTGCGGTGGAGGATCATCAGGTCGTGGGGCGGGCGGAGAGGGGGAGCGCTGCCGCGCTGGGGGTGGGCTGATGGGGGTGGAGTTGGGAATGGTTGGCGTTCTTGCCCCTGTCTCGCTCCTCGTCTCCGTCTGTGGGCTTGCTACCCCTGACTTGCTACCCCTGGCCTCTTCCTCCTGCTCCTCCTGCGGCTTCTCGCTCCTCCTTCTCTCCCCTCCTCCTCCTCCTCCTCCTCCTCCTCCTCCTCCTCCTCCTCCTCCTCCTCCTCCTCCTCCTCCTCCTCCTCTTCCTCCACCTCCCCCTTTTCCTCCTCCTCCTCCTCCTTTTCCGCCTCCTCCTCCTTTTCCTCCGCCTCCTCCTTTTCCTTTTCTTCCTCCTCCTCCTCCTCCTCCCCATCCTCCTCCTCCTGCAACTCCACCACCTCCTCCTTCTCTCGCTTCTCTCTTCCTCCTCTGCCTCTTCTTGCTCCCTTGGGCATCGTATCCTGATTGTCTTCACGACGGGAGCGCACGAGGAGGGGGAGGATGGTGCCAGGAGCTCGGCGCCCCCCCCAAGGAGCTGGAGCCCAAGCTGGCCGCGGCCCGGCAGACGACCCAGCAGCTGGCGGCGGAGAGGCCCCGCGGGAGGGTGCAGGGCATGGCGCGGGGGAGGGGGGAGGGCGCGGGGGAGTGGCGAGGGCGCGGGGCAGGGCGCGGGGGAGGGGCGAGGGCGCGGGGCAGGGCGCGGGGGAGGGGCGAGGGCGCGGGGCAGGGGCGAGGGCGCGATTGGGGGGGGGAGGGGGGCGGCGAGGGCGAGGGCGCGGTGCGAGGGGGGACATGCGCTAGTAAGTTCTCTTTTTTTTCAGGAGGGGGGGCGCAGTTGAGGTTCACGCTGTTCTGCGGTTGTACTTGTTTTTTGGGGGGGGAGGGTGATTCGTGGGGGGGGGAGGGCCTCTTTGCCGCGGCCGGATCCGCCCCGACCCGGTCGAGGCAAGCTCCAGGGCAGAGGGGGGATGATTCGAGAACGCCGTTCGCGCTGCGTGCTGGGCGGGATGCCCCCTTCCTCCTCCTCCTCCTCCTCCTCCTCCTTCCTCCTCTCCTCCTCCTCGAATCCTCGAATCCTCGAATCCTCCTCCTCCTCCTCCTCCTCCTCCTCCTCCTCCTCCTCCTCCTCCTCCTCCTCCTCCTCCTCCTCCTCCTCCTCCCTCGGGTGTTGCTAAAGTGCCCCTGGTCCAAGGTGTCCCCAGCTTTTCGCTTCATTTTGGCGCCCCTGGGGCCCTCTGGGCCTAGTGGGGGGTGCTCTGGAGGCCCTCTGGGCCACCCCGCGAATCCTGGGGGCACCTTGGGCCAGGGGTACTCCTACCAGCAGCACCCGAGTCCCTTCCCGCTCCTCCGGGCGCCGCGGCTCCGCTCGGCTCCGGTGCGCCCTGTGGCGGCCGAGGCGCGTCCCAGCGCAGCTCTCCGCGGCGCAGCTCTCCGCAGCTCTCCCCTCGCTGTTTGCGTATGTGTTCGCAAATTCGCGTGTCGGCCGCGTATCGCCCGCCTCTTGCACGCCGGCCAAGCGCGTATTCGCGACCCCCTTTCTGCACGCCGGCCAATATGTGATTCGTAGTCCCCTCTTGCACGCCGGACATGTCGCGCATCGGTCGCCCCGAGTCGCCGCCCGCTGGAGCAGCTTCTCTGCATCGCCTCCGACGACAAAGGTTTGCTTGTCTGTGTGGGTGCGTGTTTGTGTGGGTGCCTGCGTGCCTGCGTGCCTGCGTGCCTGCCTGCCTGCCTGCCTGCCTGCCTGCCTGCCTGCGTGCGTGCGTGCGTGCGTGCGTGCGTCCGCGTGTGCGTGTGCGTGTGTGTGTGTGTGTGTATGTGTGTGTGTGTGTCCGTGTGTGTGCGTGTGCGTGTGTGTATGTGTATGAGTGTGAGTGTGAGTGTGTGTGTGAGTGTGTGAGTGTGAGTGTGAGTGTGTGTGTGTGAGTGTGTGAGTGTGTGAGTGTGTGTGTGTGTGTTGCGCGCGCTCCCCTCGCTCCCCTCTGCGGGGCTGTCGCCGTGCATGGCGTGTCGGCGCTGCCTCATCAGCAGCGTCTGATCTCTCGCTGAGTTGCGTCAGCTGGCCAGGAGGCAAACCACAATCTGATGCGTGCTTGTTTTTCCACGCCGAGCTAATTAGGTGTAGCGGCTGCCCCTCCTCTCTCCCTCCCTCCCGATGGGGGGAGGAGGACGAGCGGCAGGCAACATGAGGAGCAGGAGGAGCAGAAGCAGCGGCAAACCTCACCCGGCACGAGAGCCATCTCCGCCGTGGCACGGGGTACGCACGGTCGCCGCTTCGCGACTGGTGGCAGCGGCTTGCCGTCGTTTCTGGGGCGAGCCGCTGCGGTGCTGGCCGCACACCGTGTCCCAGGAGTGGTCCGCTGGTGCGCCTCTGCTTGCACAGGGGAAGCCCCAGCGAAGCCTGGTAGGGGGCCACATGCGAACCCACACCCCCTGCCCCCCCCATGCTCTCTGAGGGGGAGGGTGGGGTTCACTTCGTTCGGGAGCGAAGTGAACCCCCCCCCTCCCCCTCAGAAATCGTGGGGGGGCAGGGGGTGTCCGCTCAGAGGGGGCCCCCCAGGGCCTGTCCGCTCAGAGGGGGCCCCCAGGGCCTGTCCGCTCAGAGGGGGCCTGTCCGCTCAGACGGGGCCCCCAGGGAGGCGGGCTCGCGTGCGGCCCCCCAGGGGCTGTCCGCTCAGAGGGGGCCCCCAGGGAGGCGGCGAGGGGAGCCGAGGGTCGGCGGCGAGCCCCAAAGGGAAGCGGCTCGAGGGCGCCGGGCCTCCAGTCCTCTGGGCCTCGTCGTCGCCGGAGGCGGAGGCGGCCTCTCCGAGGTCCCGCGGGGGTCTCTGAGAAGGCCTCGTCGCCTTCTCGGGAGGCCTGGCCCCCTCTCGCGTCCCCCTTCGGGCTCGCCGCCGAGAGGAGCGCACGGGAGGCGGCTGGGGGAGACCAGGGAGGGGGAGTGGCACGCCTGAGCGTCTTAATGTGCTGGGTGTCGCGCGGGCGTGCCACCGCCCAGGGGTCGGCCCCTTTCAGAGGGGTTCTCCGTGGCGGCGTTCCGCGTGAGCGGCGCCACGAAGCGGCGTCGGTTGCGCGGACACCGGCGCGCAAGCTGCCCGCTCGAGGCCGCGTGCGATTGTCCTCTCGTCTCCAATGCGGCGTGCCACGCTGTCGGCCCGCGCGAGCCGCCGCGCGAGGTCCTCGCCAGGCCATCTCGCACAAGACCCTACGCTTCTGCACGTCGCTCACGCTTCTCCTCGGGGGGGGGGCGAAGGCCAGCGGGCCCCCGGGCAGGCGCGCCCTTCTGCGCGACATCCGGGCGGCCCAGGAGCGCCTGGGCCGGGAGGCCACGGCCGAGCAGGCCGCGGAGGCGGAAGAGGCCCCCCATGTGCCGCCCGCCCCCCTGCGGGGGGGGGGGACCGAGGAGGGGGGATGGATGGGGCGCTTCGAGGAAACGAGGATCGAGGAGGATCGGCTCGACTCGGCCTTGCGCGTGCCGTAGGACGTGGCCGTCGAGGAGGAGGAGGAGGAGGAGGAGAAGAAGAAGAAGAAGGAGAAGAAGGATCGAGGATCGAGGATGACCGAGGGAAAGGAGGACATGGGGGAAGGAGGAAGGGGGATCAGGGATCGATCATCAGGGATCGGCGGAGGGGAGTCGCAAGCGATTCCTCGCGCCCAATCCACGAGATCCTCAGGAACACTCAGCTCTTTCAGAAGGGAGGGGGGATTGTGGGGTGTGCCCCTAGCAGGCAAGGACGCATCGTTGACGGAGGGTTCATCATCTGTTTGCCAACATGCCCTCGCCCGCCCGCCGTCCAAGCCGTTGGCATTCCCGGTTTCATCGCCCCCTCGTTCACTTCCCGTTGCTTCGTTCTTTTTTTGTTGTCAGGCGCTGCGCATGGCCAGGCGCAAGCGTCGCGAGCACGTCAAACAGCAGGGCGCAGGCGCCGCCGCGCCCCGGCGGCGTTGGCGCAGACACCGCAGGCGCCGCTGGTTTCGCGGCGCAGGCCTCGCGCGTGGCCAGGCGCAGGCACCGCAGGCTCGTCAAGTAATAGGATGATGATGTTGCTGATGATGATGCTGATGATGATGATGCTGATGATGCTGATGATGATGATGATGATGCTGATGCTGATGCTGATGACGATGCTGATGATGATAATGATGCTGATAATGATGTTGCTGCTGGTGATGATGATGAAAATGATGGTGGTGGTGGTGATGGTGGTGGTTGTGATGTTGATGTTGATGGTGATGATGGGGAGAAAGTGGAGAGATGATACAGGGAGGAGGAGGCGGATGGGGAGGCCCCCAATCCCTCCTCCTCCTCCTCCTCCTAGTTCCCCTCCTCCTCCTCCTCGCTCCCTCCCTCCCTCCCTCCCTCCCTCCCTCCCTCCCTCCCTCTCTCTTCCACCCCCTCCCTCCCTTCCGTAGCCATTTTGGCTCAAGACCTATGCTTTGGCGGGCTGAGCCCGCATTGGCAAAAACGGATACCGCTAGTCCGCGGCAGATCACTGTGTGTACGGAGGTCCCTCAGTCGAGGGGTTCGCGAGCCTCCAACCTGACTCCCCAGTCGTCGCAGCCATGGCCCCTCCGCCTGAGAAGCTGGATTGGCTTTGTCGCTTTTGTGTGCAGCGCTCTGGCGAGCCTTGGGTCAACCCAGGGTACAAGATGTACTGCGCTGGGCGGGTCAAAGACGGCTGTGGTGGGATGCACAAGGGCTCGTGTTTCCTTCGCAATGTTGAGCCCAAGGTCCCGTCGGTACGCAAAGCCAAGCCAGAGCGCCGTCCTCCATGGGCGACGCCATCGGACACGGCCAAGCTGCCCGCTCGGCTGCAGGCAGAGGTCGCAGAGCTCCGCAAGCAGAATGCCCAGAAGCTGCCTGGTGGAGCGCAACCTGGGGTGCAGCTTACGGAGCAGGGCAAGTCGGAGGACGACGAGGACGCGAAGATTATGGTGCAGGTCGCGGCTCACGAGGGCATCCACGCAGCGTGCGTCGGCGTGCCAGGCATGGAGCTGATGGCGACCGACGCGCTGGCGGCAAAGGGTGCTTTGCTGGAGAAGCGACGTTCTAAGCAACCGTTGTGTGCGCAGATTCGGCAGTTGTCCACGAAGCTGCAGAATGAGACTTCGAAGTTGGAGAAGCTGGAGAAGGCTGCAGCTGCTAAGGCGGCTGAGCTCTCGCAATTGCAGAAGGATGCGGCAGAGGCGGAGTCGAAGGCAGCGGCCCAGCGGGTTGTCATCGTGGAGCTTGAAGGCCAGCTGCAGCAGCTGGGCAACTCGGCTCCACAGCCTCCTGATGGGGCCAAGCCTGTTGCTGGTGGGCAGCTCGACACGTCGGTGCTGGATGCGTTGCTGGAGGCGGCGGGCGTCCACGGAGAATTGCTCGTCGCGGTCAAGGCCAACCCGTTGGTGGAGAAGCTGGTGGCACCTGTGCAAGCGCCTAGTGGAGGTGGGGGTGCCGCTGTACCTGATGGCGAACCGTCCCAGAAGAGGCCGAAGTTCACGGAGCCTGACTTCGATGGGATGGACGAGGACAAGCTGCGGGACGGTTTATCAGCAGTCGGATTCGTCGGAGAGCTACCGTCCGAGGTTGAAGAGTTGCGGGCGATGGCCAAGAAAGCCTTCAGTGGGGCGAAGGCCTGGAGCCCGTACTAATTGCTGGATTATCATGTTTGTGCTACGATGGTTACTGTCGGTTGCCATGATGATGTCTGGTAGTTTCTCAGGTTCTTCTCTGCCCACTACCTCGACCTCGGGGGGTTCGGCATGCAGCGCTGGGAGTTCGGGGGCGGCTGGTTCCTCGGCGTCGAGCGGTGCACTCACTGGGCCTGCTGCGAAGCAGGCTCAGCAGAGGTCGCCACATGAGCTACCTCCTCGTGACGGGACCTGGTCGACGCGCGGCTCGTCTACTTCGATTTCAGACGCCAGCGGCTGTATGCACTGCTCACCACCCTCGCCCTCCGTGGCATCGGGTGGCAGAGGGTACCAGCAGCCGCTGGCGAGTCTCTCGTCCCCAGTGGAGCTCGTAGCAGTCTCGAAAAATGTGTCAGGACAGCCACCTGCCCATCTTTCCCATGCAGGTGGGCGTGGTGGCGACGGGAGGGTGGTCAACGGCCTCATCACGACGGTGAACGTGTCGAGTGGCGGCCCTCTCATCAAGTATTTAGCAGCTGGCCCGCCCAGCTCCATCATTGCTGTGCAGGGGCATCATGGTACACTGTCTCGGCTGAGTTCGTTGCAAAATCAGGCGAAGGATCTCGGCTATCACGGAGTTTGGAGTGCTGCGGTGCCGTCAGATGGTGGTGGGACCTCTGGTGGAGTGGCTATCCTTACCAAGACGCACATCTCGGTCACGGCGGCGCCCTACTTCGACCAGGACGTCGTGCCTGGTAGGCTTTGTGCTGCTCATGTCCATTGGGGTTTGCGCAATGGCATTGTGGTTGTGTCAGCCTACTTGCATGATTCGGTTGGACTCAATGACGATAACGCTTTCATTCAGGCCCACTTGCAACACTACTTGCTGTTACTGTCGGCCTTAAAGCTCGATTGGGTCTGTGTTGATGACTTCAACATGAGCTCGGATGTGCTGATGACAGGTTGGAGCCAAGGGTTCCCAGGAGTCCATTGCGTGCCGCGTGAGTGTACCTGCGTGAAAGGCCAAGGGAGTACAATTGACTTCGGCATTGTTTGCAGCAATTTGGCTTTGCGGGTGGACCCACCCTGGGTGGACCAGGAGTCTGCGCTGTATCCACATCACCCTGTTCACTTTCCCTTGGCCGTGAATGATGTTGAGGCGTGGGCTCGCCTGCCCGCGGGGCCTCGTGGCTGGGGGTCCGGGGCTCCGATTGGCTGGGCGCCTTTCCCGCGTACTCGTGAATGGGAACGTGCTCTACATTGTGTTCTGACAGCTGAGGGCCAGGTGGGCCTACAGCGTGCTTGGGACCAGGTATTGCATGGTATTGAATGTGAGCTGTCTGATCGATGGGGACACAGACGGCTGGATCGGTCGTCGCATGGAGGCCGCGGGGGTAACGTTTCCTTTCGCATGGTGAAGCTCGAGTGGAAGCCCCCTCGGCGGAGAGTGTACCAGACTTCGCAGGTAGCGGCGCTGCAGGTGGCGGCACGTTGGCTCAGGCGTGGCCGCTCTGCGGCAGCAGGTCTGTGAGCTCGGGCAGAGGCTGATGGCTGCCAGCGTGGTGTGCTCGGTCTCTGTTGGTCAGACTTCTCGGTTGGTGGAGCTGCTGTGCGAGCTGAATCAGTTCTACGTGAAGATTGGTCGGGCGTCGGAGACGCTGGGCAAGCTGGATGTGGACCTAGCGCAGTTCTTGGCTCGTGGCATCGCTGTCTGGACAGACTCGTTGGCTGGACAGGCAGTGCAAAGCTCCCTGGATCGTGCTGCTGACGCTAGGAAGAAGTTCGAACGCGAGCAAGGGGCCAATGGGCGGCAGTGGGCTCGTGATGCCTTGAGTGGAGGTGCTTCAATGGCCCATCGTTTTACTCGGGCCCATCCGTTGCAGGAGGTGCTGGACCAGACCACGCGGGCCAGCCCCCATCAGCTCGTGCAGCGGGAGATGGAGAAGTGGAAGAAGATCTGGACGGTGCATGGCCTCACGCAGTGCGCTAGGCCCCCTGATTTCGACGACTGGGACCTGTTGCCCGAGATGTCCGTGGCCATGCTGCGGGGGGTCTTCCTGAAGTTCAAGGCGAAGACTGCCGTGGGTCAGTCGGGCATTGCTCCGCGTGCGTTGTGGCACCTCTCGGATGCAGGTCTCATTGTGCTGTCAAAGTTGTTCCAACTGTGCGAGATGTTGGGTTTTTGGCCAGATAATCGCATATTCACCACGTTGGTGAGGCTGCCGAAGGAAGGAGGCGGGTCCCGTCTCATTGCTCTGGTCCAGACGCTGGTTCGTGTGTGGGCTAAGGCTCGCAGCTCCATCAGTCGGCAGTGGGTGGTGCAGACTGACCTTCGTGATGTTTGGGGAGCTGGAGGCGTTGGCCGTACTTCTTCGGCGGCGGCGTTCGAGCACAACCTGATGGTGGAGGTTGCGTCGCTGCTCGGCTGGCACACGGCGACGGCGGCGGTGGACGCGTGGAAGGCCTACGAGTCCGTCAGCCCTGGCGAGCTGATCTGTGAGGCCCGCCACCGTGGTTTTCCGCTGCGGCTGGCCTGGATGGTGATTGAATACCATCGCCAGCCGAGGGTACTGAAGGCCTTCACCTCCTATTCAGAGCCCTTTGTTTCTTGGCAGGGCATGCTTGCAGGCTGTGCCCATTCCACCTCCCTCCTCACTCTCCTCACCCTGCGTGCGGCGCGGCGTGTCCGAGCGAGTGGCGTCGTGCCTCGTGCTTTGGTCGACGACCTCACGATTCAGTGGGTTGGGGAGGAGGCGGGGGGGGGGATTTCGAAGCTCTTTAATGCGCTGGTCAACTTTAAAGCTGATGTTAAGCCCCTCGGGATCGTTCTCCAGGACTCGGCTTCGGGGAAGTCTGGCTACGTGGTGGCCAATCGCAAGGTCCTGCGGGCCTCAAAACCCTGGGCCCGAGCTGTTAGGCTGGAAGCCAAGCGTAACATGCGCAATCTTGGCCACGAGATCTCGGGGCGTGAGCGCAGGAGACCGCTCACCCGGCAGAGGATCGCTAAGTTAGGTCGTCGGATGAAGCGTGTTTACCCTCTGCAGAAGGCTGCGGGGACTCGTGTTTCTGTCCTGTGGCGCACTGGACTTCTGCCAGGCGCTAGTCACTGCTGTGCAGTTTCTGGGACCACGGACGCCGAGCTTCGGAAGTTGAGAGCTGCTGCGGGGGCTTTGGTTGGCGCCAAGGGTCGTGGGGGGTCCTTGACGGTCTACTTGGCGTCTCAGTCGGATCCGTGGTGTGACCCGATTTTTGAAGCCACGATTGCCCCAGTCAAACACTACGCCCAGGTGGTGTGGATGCAGACTGTGTCCCTGGGTACCCTCGAGAGGGCTTGGAGGGCCCTGGCCGAAAAGCGGGGTCAGAAATTCTCCTGGCTCCACGCTTCGGGCCCGCTTTCGGTGGTGGCTTTGTCTCTCCTCCGCGTTGACTGGTGCATGGAGTCGTCTGTGCTTATCCGTTCCGATCAGGGAATGGTGTATTCTTTGCTGCAGACTGATCCGCGACATTTAATCAAGTTGCTACGTGCTGGCATCCAGCGCTGGCAGATGCGTCGTATCCAGGCTCATTTTCCTGGTTTCCCCGCGGACGCTGAGTTGTGGCCCCGTGGGATCCGCGCCTGCGCTGGGTCCAAGTGGGCCGCGCTCAAAAACCCCAGGTCGGCTGGAATCCTTCGGTCTCTCTGGTCTGACTCCTGGTGGCCCCAGGCTAAGTTCCATGACAAAGGGCTCGCCCCCGATCCTAAGTGTAGGGGCTGCGGAGCGGACAGAGAGACGTGTGGTCACCTGCTTCTCGAGTGCCCTGTGCTGCGCGAACAGTTGCTGGAATTTGAAGATGAAGTTCCGATTTCTGAGTCCCTGGCCAAAACTCGTGATAGGTTTTTGGACCAGGGGCCTGTTGGGCGCCGAGGGGCCGCTCTGGACCCTGAGAGTTTTGAGTTGTCGGTTGGGCTCCCTTTGCTCCCGATGAAACCTCCTGACCCTCCGTGCGACCCACCGATTTTCTGGTGGGGGGATTGGGAATCTGATCCTTTGCAGTGGTCCAATGCTGCGTTCACGGATGGGTCAGGCATGTGGTCGTCTCAACCAGAGATTAGGGCGTGCGGCTCGGGCGTTGTCCAGCTGAGTGCGTCGGGCACGCCACTAAGAGCGTGCTATGGCAGACTCGGAGGCGCCAGTCAGACGGTTGGCGACGCCGAGCGGGTCGCATACTTGCGGGCGGTGGAAAATATCCCGTCGCTGCAGGTCGTCGTCACCGATCTTTTGGGCCTGGCCAATGAAGCGCAGGAGTGGAGTGCGGTGTCTGAAGGTCCAGGGGCTGAGCATGCTGCTGTGTGGCGGCAGATTCGCGCGGCGGTCGTGCGTCGTGGAGGGGTCCCGCCCATGACGCACTGGCGTCCTGCCCATAGGGACCTGTCCGAGGCTGCCCTGGCGACCCCTGGATCTGGCCCGCCTTTTTTGTACGTCCTGGGCAATGCCTGGGCTGATTTCTTCGCCAAGGCTGGTGCTGCCAGCCGAATGGTTGGGCAGGGCACAGCAGATCTGTTTCGGATCGCGCTCAAGGAGTGCCAGGAGTTTGCCAAATATCTGGCTTGGGCTGGGGGCCGGGCCATCGACTTGGGGATTGGGGCGTCGTCGTCGTCGGAGAGGGCTGCTCGTTCTCGTCCGAGGCCTGGCCCCCGCCCGACCCCTGTTGAAATTTTAGAGCCTGGAGGGCCACTTGCGTGCCATAGCATGTATAGGAGTGATGCCGCCCAGGAATGGAGGTGCAGGCGTTGTGGTGTCTCGACAAGGACTGCAGCTGGTCTCCGCGCCCTCAGGTCCTGCTCGGCGCGCTGCGCGCCGACCGAGGTGCAGCGCTGGCAGGCCGCCCGTGCTTTCTCGCGGCGCTCCGATTGGAGGCCGACCTCCGACGCGGTCCACGTCGCTTTGGAGGCGGCGGCAAGGGTCCTTGAGACGGACCCCGCCTGGACGTCGGGCCCTAGGGTGGACTCTGGGGCGCGGCGTTTTGCCGACGTGGCCTTG